AATATTCCAGAGATAGTGTCATTTTTTATGAATGCACAGAAACATTTGGGACGTCAGGAAGTGACGTTGTTGTCCTTTATGATTCTGGGGATGTCAAGCGTGCTGGCATGATTTTCTTCTTATTGGTTCTCTGGAGTTGTTTGCTTGGCGTTGTTAATGCTTTGAGCTTGACCGATTCTTTTGATGCTCCATTCATAAAGGTCTTTGACCCCGGAGGATGTCTGTTCACAACGCATGATTCCTCGTTTATTCTAGATTTCCAACTTGAGAACAAGTTGGTTTTCGAGGCGGGGAGAGTGTTACGGGACTATTACTATTATTATTATTATTATTATTATTATTATTATATTATTATTATTATTATTATTATTATTATTATTATTATTATTATTATTATTATTATTATTATTATTATAAGTAAGGAGTTATTTATAGTTAGATAATTATTATTAGAGAATATTATTTTTGTTAGGTTATTAATTAGTTTCTTATTTTATTTAGTTTCCTTTTAGAGATTGGATTCCCTTAGGCTTTTAGAGTTTCACTCTATATATTGAGATGTATTGCTTTAGAATTAAATCAATAAAGAAATATTTCCCTAACCCTAAACTCCCCCTCTCCTCCTTGCCGATCAACGGCCGTCTTCCCCTCTCCTTTCTCAATCTCTTCCTTTTCCCCAATTCTATAGCTCGAAGGTGTAAATCCTTCTTTATCCCGATACGATACCGTATCAAATAATCACCACAACCCAATATGCCCATCAATCCAAACATGTAAATCTCCTTGTATTTTGGTCACTTTAAAAAGTACATATTTTTTCACAGATCTTAGGGGCTGTTAGTTCCAGCCTCTTAATGGTTCAGATGTCTGAATGGTTCAGCACTTAATGGTTCAGACTGTTTGTTTCAGCCTCTTAATGGTTCAGATGTCTGAATGGTTAAGTATTATACAGAGTCTGAATGGTTAAGACCTCTTATCTGAATTGATCAGACATTTGCCTCTGAATAGTTAAGCAATATACTAGCTCTTAATGGTTCAGCACTTAATGGTTCAGACTTCTTACTGGTTCAGCACTTACCCATTCAGAAGTTGCCAAACAGCCTAGTTTGGTATCTACCAATAAAGTCATTGTCACGGAGTAAGAACCACATTGAATATCGCAAAACTGGTCGATCGATTGTCAATGGGCCATTCGCCAAAGATGTTTTGAATGAAAACATTAACAAAAAGCAACAACCCAATTGGATCCCGCGATAGTAGAGAAGTTGTTTCCAAAAGACCCTGACTCACACAGTATATACAAAATAAGATCGCAGAGGACATATATAGCAGAGATAGAAAAAATATTTAGATGCCAAAAATAAACTAATTATATGAAATAAAAACACAACATGAAAAGAGCACCAAGCAAACAAAGTACACAATATGATACGAGATAAATTATTATTATTATTATTATTATTAATGGTTAGTGGTTATTATTATTATATTAGGTAGTATCATTATTTATGGTTAATTAATTATATTATTATTAGAAAGTAGTATAGTATTGTTAGGATATTTGTTATCATTTATAATTAGGATTCCTAGATTATTTAGTTTCCTTCTATGGTAATGATTTTTTAGATGTCCTAGCTATAAATATATCCATTTCAATGATTTATTAATCAATGAATAAAGAAAATACTTTCTCCTAAACCCTAATCTCTCTCTCTTTAATTTCTCTCCTCTTGTGTTCTTGGAGCTCGAAGGTGCTCAAAATCCTTCCTTATCCTGATACGATACTGTATCAATTGGTGCTCTCATTCTTGAACTCATTCAAAAAAATTATACAAAAAACATCAGCCACCAAATTCAATTTAATTTTTGTGTAGTGGTGTTTCTTTTGGCAATGGATTCTCTGTTAGACAAAATTCTTGGTTTACTCGAGAAAGTTTTATGGGGACAAATTGAATTTTATGAAGGCATGTGTGCAGTTGAAGATTCCGTGGATGAAATTTTAAAGAAACTTCAGGCATTCCGTCAAATTGAAGGTCAACCAAAATATGATTCCGAGGTATATGCGTTCGCCGTAGAAGTCTCTTGCTCAATCTAGGATTTAGTTCGTGGTCCCCCAATTTTACCAAGTTTGATCCCGATAGAGTTATACTTGTTCAAAATAAATATGATGAGCATGATAAAGAAACTCATCGGTGCTCCACTTTCTTCACCAAATCTAGCCCTTAGGGTTGGGGACCTGATTGTTCAGATCGTGAAAGACACAGCCGCACACACTGGTCCACTTGTGGAAAATTTAAGCAATGAACCACATGTCGAAGATGACATGAAAAGTGGGTCCTATATCTTGGGTACCAATAAGTCACTCACGATGGAGGAAATTGTTGTTCATCCGATAGGTATTTCCGATGATGCTTTTATTATTGTTACTGATCCCGTTCCCACAGACGATGTTGATGAGGATGCAACCACCAAGACCGCGAGGAAGTTTTTGGGGACAATCTGATTGTTTATGGATGCACAGAAAGCTTTGGAATGCCTTATGCTGATCGAGGTTATTGTTATTTGTAAATTAGGAAGTATTGCACCTGGTTGCATTCTTTTCATCGGGTTTGTTGCATGCAATTATTTAACTCATGTTGGAGATGTTGTAGGTCCAACACGTTCTTTTGAAGCTCAAATAACGAAGGTGTTTGACCTCAGAGGATGGACGATGAATGACACACTTTTTTCTCCGTTCTTTGTTGAATTTCCAACTTGGAGAGTGATACAGGATTTTTTATTATTATTATTATTATTATTATTATTATTATTATTATTATTGGTTAGTGGGTATTATTATTATACTACCTCCGTCCCAGAATATTCGTCCACTTTCATTTTTACACACCATCCAATACACTTCTTTAATCCATTTTATCTTGTAATTTGTATATTAAAGAATTATAGAAATTATATATTAATAATCTATATGTTAAGACAAATCAAACAAGATCAGACATGACTATATATAGGCTTATACATTGAGAGAATTTGATGAGTCAAAATGCTTTAATGAACAGTTCCAAAAGTCAAAACTGGACGAATACTCCGGGACGGAGGGAGTATTAGGTAGTATCTTTATTTATGGTTAGTTAATTATATTATTATTAGAAAGAACTATATATAGTATTGTTAGGATATTTGTTACCATTTTTAATTCAGATTCCTAGATTATTTAGTTTCTTTCTATGGTAAGGATTCTTTAGATGTCCTAGCTATAAATGTATCCATTTCAATGAATTATTAATTAATGAATAAAGAAAATACTTTCTCCTAAACCCCAATCTCTCTCTCTCTTTCTCTCCTCTTTTGTTCTTGGAGCTCGAAGGTGCTTGAAATCCTTCCTTATCCTGATACAATTAATACTGTATCACAATAAGTAAAGAACCTCCCACAAAGCCCAAAGTGTTAGTTTCATATTGTGTTGGCATTATTTTTTGACAAACGAATAGATTTACCTAGAATTATTTTAGATATTTTATTTAGACTAAAAGTCCTAGCGTGTGCAGAAAGAGAAAAGAGTCTGAAAAGAGAATTCTAACCCTACTTGGTTTACTATTCTTGAGAATGAAGCCATGGTTGAGACTCCTAAGTACACTCTAACAGGGTTATTCTATTCCATATGTTATCTTCGCATTCCCTTACGTTTTTGGGGTGTGCGAAAGTACTGATCTGGAAAAAGAATAGGAGCACATCCGATCCAAAAATAAAGAAGAAGGTGCAGTTTTTGACAGTGCAGGTTTTCTGGACAGCCTACACGAATTTGATCATCGATGGAGATCCGATCATTATATTTAGCTAAAATTTTTAGAAAGTGTTCCCAACACATAGGACTTCAATTTTCTCAATCATCATGTCAATCTGAGTTTTAGATCTTCTGTTATCGTAGATGGTGCACGGACGTGGGCACCGCAAACCAGGAGAGTTGCTCTGAACTGCGCAAACAATTCTTGTGCATTGTTTACTACTTTTACTTTATATTTTGCGTGTGTGCTAGTGGCGAAGAAGGTGTTATAGCACTCCATCTATCATCTGTTTCTACAACAGTGCTATAGCATCTTCTGCAGCAGTATGTTTGTTTGATCTGTTTGCATAGATTCTTTTTATTGGTGATTTCCGCTGCCCCCACAAGTTTACAATTCGTACTAAAGCAGTTAAGGTCAAGTTATTATCTTAAGATCCATCATGGGAGATATTCAAGAAGGTGCAAATGTTTTCAGACCCCCACTATTTTGCAGCCATGATTATACTTTTTGTAAGTGTTGATAAGAGCCTTTCTCAAGTCTCTCGATGGACATGTTTGGAGAAGCATAGAGGTGTGATGGTCAGCTTCTACTATGACCAATGGAGATGGAGAACTAACTCAGAAATCCTATGAAAGATACCGCAAAAAAGATAAGGATGCGGACAGAGGCCAAGTTATCAGCTTAAGATCCATCATGGGTGATATTCAAGAGGGTACAAATGTTTTCAGACCCCACTATTATGCAGCCATGATTATACTTTTTGGAAGTGTCAAATGAGAGCATGCTTGGAGAAGCATAGAGGTTGGATGGTCAGGTCCTACTATGACCAATGGAGATGGAGAAATAATTCAGAAATCTTATGAAAGATACATCAAGAAAGAAAAGGAGGATGCAGCAGAATCAAATTATCAAGCCTTGAATACAATCCTTGGAGCAGTTGATAGAAATCAATTTCATATTATCTCAAACTACACAGAGGCCAAGAGACCTTGGGACATTCTGCTTATTACATGTGAAGGCACTACAGCGGTCTAGACAGCCAAACTTCAGATCGTGATGTCTAAAATTGAAAATCTTGAGATCGATGATGTTGAGTCTATCACAAATTATCATGGGTGAGTTAGAGAGTTGGCAAATGAGCCTGAAAGGCTTGGTGAACCAATTACAAAAAACATACTTATGCTGAAAGTTCTACGTTTTCTTCTATAGAAACACTATATAGACGTCAAAGCTATTAGACAAACAAAATGTCTCAATACTATATCTCTTGATGAGCTAATCGAGAACTTAGAAACCATTGAGTTGGAGATGCATGAAGATCTACAACGTAAGAAACAGTGTGTCATTCCCGTTAGAAAAGAAAAGCAGTATGTTAAAGAGAGTGCTGGAACATGCTGTGCTTTTCCAACTTTCTACAGTGATGACGATGACTCTGATGGTGACGTTGATGCAAAGGAGATGCTTATAATTGTTGAAGAAAAATTTCAAGAGTCTCCATAAAAAATATATTTGGAGAATGATAGTCTCAAACGCGAACTTGCTGAATCAAAATGCCATGTCATACAACTCACTATAGAGTTACAGAGAGACAAAGTTAAAGTTACAACAGAGGATGATACAGACCATGCAGAAGAGTTAGCTATCTCCGAAAGGAAGTGGGCAGAACTTCTTCAAGCCAACAAGAAAACTGTCATGGAGAACCATCATCTTGTTGTTGAGCAAAATAGAATCAAGGAGGATATTTCAGAATTAGAAAAGAAGATTGAATAATTAGAAGGGAAACAATCTAATCCCAAGTATGAATTAATTAAACTCAAAACTATCACAAGTGGATGAGGAGTGCTAGAGCAAAAGCTATTGAGGAACAAGTGAACATTTCAAAATTTTTTGAGACAAGACGGGTCTCGGATTTTCAGGTTCCGAAAGGAACAAGACCCCACTTGACTTGTTTGTTGATCGAAGAAAGGAAATTGCTCAAAAGATCCCATAAAGAAGGAAAGTAGAAGCTACCGAATCTACTGGAACATCTTTTGCCGAACCCGCTGAAGGATCTCATGTAGCTTTTGCTGGAACATCTTATGCAGTACCCTATGTAAAAAGGCAATGAGTTGTGACACAATCTAGTATGAGAAGATACAAGGATTATTATCCTGAACTCGAAAGATATTTTGATACTAATACCTATGCAATTTATGTTTGCTTGTGGAAAATGGGGACACATTCACAGCAAATGCAAGAACTTTAAAGAGCAAAGATATAGAACAAAGAATGTGACAAAAAGGATGATTTAGTTACCTAAGAATGAGAACTAAATAGGTGATAATCGTTGTGTAAAGGATGTTGCTTCTGATCAATGCCATGATGGTAGTGCAAGCTTGCATCAATGAGAACATAAAATAGATTATTGTGCTGTTAAGAGTGTTGAATCATATCATAAGTGTGACGATGTGACACCTCCTAGTCATGAGAGTTTGAATTTTATCACTATGAAAAAACAGGCATTGGACATGTGTAAAAAAGCATTTGATGGGAATTGATTTGGTATACCCACATCCATCTTGGGTTTGTGCATACCCATCTCTACCTTATCTAGAGGATGCTCTAAGAGGTGTTTCATCTCCAGCGTGGACTACCTTAAAGAATAGATGTTTTTGCTAGTTGTATATGTAACAACCCATCTTAGATTACCAAGTCACCTAGACCGGAGCGCTAGCAAAACCGGGTTTACTTTATAAAACATTTATTTATTTAGAATTAGTTCTCATTTTAATAGTTAAAAATATTAATGATTATTACTGAAAAAACTTAAAATAAGAACGTTTGAGAGTAAATACAACTTAGAGAACATAAAAATGAACTCTATTCATCATAGAAAAATAATCGTAGTTTAATTCAGTATAAAACTAAAAAAGGATTATATAATTGAAATTGATACAAAGAGATAATACTTAGATTAAAGAAGAGGGAGATGAAAATAATAGCAAAGTCTATGAATTAGGATTCATATCCCTTATTGTATCATTGGAGAAGGTATTTACAAGACAAAAGATACTTGTTATTCCCTTCCAATTATTTATTACTTTAGTTTGATCTCTTCTTGGAGTCTAGATACATATATTCGGCACCTCTCACTAATAATCACCACAACCCAATATGTCCATCAATCCAAACATGTAAATATCGTATTTTGGTCACTTTAAGAAACACGTGTTTTTTCATAGATCTTAGTTTGGTATTTCCTAATAAAGTCATTGTCACGAAATAAGAACCACATTGAATATCGCAAAACTGGTTGATCGGTTGTCAATGGGCCATTCGCAAGAGATGTTTTCATTGAAAACATTAACAACAAGAAACAATCCAATTGGATCCCGTGAGATTAGGGTCTGAAAGGGTGAGTGTATGCAGACTTAGCCCCTACATACTCACAAGTTGGGAGGTTGTTTCCAAGAGACCCTAACTCACACAGTATATACAAAGTAAGATCACAGAAGAAATATATAGCAGATATACAAAAAACAACTAGATGCTAAAATAAACTAATTATAAGAAATAAAAACACATCATGAATAGAGCACCAAGCAAACAAAGTACACAATAAGTAAAGAACCTCCCACTAAGCCCAAAGTGTTAGTTCCATATTGTGTTGATATTTATTTGGACAAACGAATAGATTTAACTAGATATATTTTAGATGTTTTTTTAGACTTAGAGTCATAGTGTGTGCAGAAAGAAAAAGAGCAAAGAGTCTGGAGAGAAGATCTGGAAAAAGAACATGAGCAGATCCGATCCAAAAATAAAGAAGAAGGTGCAGTTTTTGAATGTGCAAATTTTCTAGACAGCCTGCTCGAATTTGAACATCCCTATA